TCTTACCAGCACATCCCGATTCTTTGTACACTGGCAAATTATAAAAAATAAATTAAGTAGATAATAAATTAAAAAAATAAAAATAACCAAAAAATTTTTAAGTTAAAAAAATATATATAAATTAAAAAATAAATAAATAAATAAAAATCAAAAAAAAATATTAAAAAAAAAAATAAATAACGATAAATTATTAAAAAAAAAATAATAATAATAAATAAAAAAATTAAATAACGATAGAATAAAAGAAAAACTAAATTATTTTCATCCGGTAATCGAAAACTTAAACAGGTAATTGATTACGAAAATTAACCTTGGACTTTGGACATAGGACAGTGTCCGGCGGACTTCCAATGTCTGGTAATTTTGTAGATCGAAAGTATCCAATCAAATGCTTGGACATTGGACAATGTCCGCCAGATAGATGTCCGCGTCCACCACATTTTACACGGACAGTATCCGATGACAATTCATATGAGGTGGACGCAGACATTCGGACAATGTCCAAATATGTCCGTGTCCAAGTAATATGCGCGGACAGTGTCCGTGTACATCACTGCTCTAAACTGTATAAATTCAATTGTATAAAAATTGACCAATCACGAGGAAGTTACTCTATAGAGTATAACCCGGAGTATCGCCTGGAGTATAATCTGGAGTATAACCCGGAGTATAACCCGGAGCATAACCCGGAGTATAACCCGGAGTATAACCCGGGTCTGCTCCATATGGAGTAACCCGGGTTATAAGAAATAACTCTGCTCCGGGTTATTATATAATTTTAAAATCTCAACCCACTCCAACTTTAGACTGGAGTATAACCCGGGTTGCTCCGGAGTACGTTGCTCCATTAACAACCCTAACTTCAAGTTATTTGTTCACTTCTGGTCTTGAGTCTTCAACTTGCTTTCGGAGACTGGTTGGTACAAGTGATCATTGGGGAGAGTTGTGTATGTAAACAAATTTTGATTATAATTAAATTCAATAAAATATTTTTGAATTATTTTGTTAAATATTTTTTTAAATGCTTAAAAATATATATGTATTTATAATTAAATTCAATAAAATATTTTTGAATTACTTTGTTAAATATTTTTTGAGTATGTATATAAAAAATAACTTAAGTGTAATTGTTAAAATAATAAAAAAAAACTATTAATATAAATATAAAGTATATAAATAATATCAAATTGAGAAATAATACAAAATATATATATATGACTACTATTTTATTCACCTATATACTTGTATTCAATTTTGTCTATTTATTATATTTGCCATCTTTCTATATTCTAAAACTTTAAATAATTTTTGTTAACTTTTAACTATTTATATCTTTAAGAAAATAATAGTAAAGGGTTAAATATACTAGTTTAGCTTAAGTTTAAATTAAAAATATAAGTTTAAAACATTTTTATATATAAAGAAATATAATAATAAAAATAGTAGTATAGTATAATTTTATATTCTTAAACTCATATATATATTTAATTATTAGACTTATAAATACTTACATAGTATAACCTAGCAAAAATTATAGCAGTATTATATTCTAGACAATAGTAGCTAATATAACTTTTAGTTATTGTTAAATACAACTAACAACATTATAAATTGTAAATAACTTTGTTACCTGCATGCAATTTTTAGTTTGAATTGTCACTTGATTTAATGAACATATTGATTAAAACAAATTGTTATACAGTGAAGCATAGGATTTAATTTGGTTTTTTATTTAAGATAATTTATTTAGCAATAATAAAATAATAAGAAAAGATAATAGTAATAGATATTATACTGGGTATATAATATTGTTATAATTATATATAATGTGGATTATATAAGTGCAGCAGAATAAAAAACTAGAAGTAATTATTTACATATCAGCCAATTTGTTTTGACCCCAAAATCAGCCAATCATGATCGAGGATTATCAAAAAATTTTTCACGAAAATTTATTGCAAAGCGAATTTTCACAAAAATGGTCTTTTTAACTAGCCTTGCATTTCTAATTAAGTACATATAAATTTACAAAATTCATGTATTTAGTTATAAGCCAAAAGTAAGTTAAAAAGACCGTTGTTTTGAAAATTAGCTTCCAAATTTACCCTTGTTAGTTACCAACCAATCAAACAATGCACAACCAATCTTCAAACACCCGAATATTTCAACAAAAGATAAAAGTACTTCTTTCTACAGCTTAGCTTAGCTCTTTTATTAGTTTTTATTAGTTATTT